TTTTATATCTCTTTTTAAAAACACCTGTTCTATCTCCATTATAAAGTTGTTTTCTTTTTTTCTGAGACGAAGCCTCACTCTGTCACCCAGGCTGCAGTGCAGTGGCATGATCTTGGCTCACTGCAACCTCCACTTCAGGTTCAGGTAATTCTCCTGCCTCAGCCTCCTGAGTGGCTGGGATTACAGGTATGTGCCACCACGCCCAGCTAATTTGTTGTATTTTTAGTAGAGATGGGGTTTCACCATGTTGGTCAGGCTTGTCTTGATCTCTTGACCTCGTGATCCACCCACCTCGGCCTCCCAAAGTGCTGGGATTACAGGCATGAGCCACCGTGCCCGGCCTAAAATATTCTTTTGTTTCTCCTAAACATAAACTATTAACATATAACTATTCTTTTATGTTTATCCTAATATGTTAATATTAACAATTATTATATATAATGTAGTGTAGTTACATGTTAATAGTTTTGTTTTAGCTCTTAAGAATTAAAAAAATTTAGCTGTGGTGAAAAACACATGGCAACATGACAATTTACCAACTTACCGATTTTTAAGTGTAGAGTTCAGTAATGTGTACTCACATCGTTGTGCAGCAGATCTCCATTACCTTTTCACGTTTTGTAACTGAAACTCGGTACCCATTAAACAATTCCCTATTCCCCCTACTCCCTATTCCCCCTACTTCCAGACCCTGGTAACCACCATTCTTCTCTCTGTTTCTCTGAATTTTAGATACCCCACGCAAGTAGAATCTTACAGTATTTGTTTTTTGTTACTGGCTTATTTCACTTACTGTGATATCCTTAATGTTCATCCGTGTTGTCACATGTGATAGGATTTCCCTTCCTTTCTAAGGCTGATTAGTACTCTGTTGTATGTATAGACCATAATTTGGTTTATTCCATATATCCCTCCGGGGTTGTTTGGGTTGCCTCTACCTCTTGGCCATTGTGAATAATGCTGCTGGGAACATAGGTATGCAAATAACTCAGTAAAGCTCCGCTTTCAGTTCTTTTGGTTATATACCAGAAGTGGGATTTCTAGATCATATGGTAGTTCCATTTTTTAATTTTAATTTTTTGAGGAACTGCCATACTGTTTTTCTGTAATGGTTGTAGCATTTTACAATCCCACCAACAGTGCACAAGGGTTCTATTTTTCTCCACAGCCTCCTTAGTACTTGAAATTTTCCTTTTTTTTTTTTTTTTTTTTTTATGGTAGCCATCCTAATGGGTGTGAGGTGGTATCTCATTGTGATTTCATTTTGCTTTTCTCTAAAGATTAATGATATTGGCACTTTTGTTACGCTTATTGATCATTTGCATATCATCTTTGGAGAAATGTCTATTCAAGTTTTTTGCTCAATTTCTAAACACGTTGTTGTTATTGAGTTATATGAGCCCTTTGTATGTATTAGCTCTTGTGTTTTTGTTTGTTTTTGAGACAGAGTCTTGCTCTCTCACCCAGGCTGGAGTTCTGTGGTATGTTCTCACCTCACTGCGGCCTCTGCTTCTGGGGCTCAAGCAATCCTCCTGCCTCAGCGTCCTGAGTAGCTGGGACCACAGGTGCATGCCACTGCGCCTGGCTAATTTTTGTATTTTGAATTTTTTGAAAAACTCTTTTACATTCTCTGTCTGTTGCCCAGGCTGGAGTGCAGTGGCGCAATCTAGCCTCATCATAGCCTCTGCCTCCCAGGTTCAGGTGATTCTCCTGCCTCAGCCTCCTAAGCAGCTGAGACTACAGATGTGCGCCACCATGCCTGGATAATTTTTGTAGTTTTAGTAGAGGTGGGGTTTCACTATGTTGGCCAGGCTTTTCTTGAATTCCTGACCTTGTGATCCACCCACCTTTGCCTCCCAAAGTGCTGGGATTACAAGCATGAGCCACCGTGCCCAGACAATTTTTGTATTTTTTGTAGAGATGGGATTTTGCCATGTTATCCAGGCTGGTCTTGAACTCATGGGCTCAAGCAGCCCTCTTACCTTCGCCTCCCAAAATGCTGAGATTACAGACATGACCTATTTAGCTTTGTGTTTTTTCCAGACAGAGTTTAGCTCTTGTTGCACAGGCTGGAGTGCATTGGTGTGATCTCGGCTCACTATAGTCTCTGCCTCCTGGGTTCAAGCGATTCTCTTGCCTCTGCCTTCTGAGTAGCTGGGATTAGAGGCATGCATCACCACACCCAGCTAATTTTTGTATTTTTAGTGGAAATGGGGATTCTCCATGTTGGTCAGGGTGGTCTCGAGTTCCCTACCTCCGGTGACCTACCTGCCTTGGCCTCCGAAAGTGCTGGGATTACAGGTATGAGCCACCATGCTTGGCCAGCTCTTTTTTTAATCTGAAAATTGTTTTTTTTTGTGAGTATGATAGGCTGAATAATGCTGTAATGTATGTATATATCACATTTAATATATATATATATACATTCAGTGATTTTTTTTTTTTTTTAATATTTTTTTTTTTTTGTGGCTGGGTGAGGTGGCTCATGCCTGTAATCCCAGCACTTTGGGAGGCTGAGGTGGGCGGATCAAGAGATCAAGACCATCCTGGCCAACATGGTGAAACCCTTCTCTTCTAAAAATAGAAAAATTAGCTGGGCATGGTAGCACACGCCTGTGGTCCCAGCTACTCAGGAGGCTGAGGCATGAGAATCGTTTGAACCCAGGAGGCAGAGGTTGCAGTGAGCCGAGATTGTGCTGCTGCACTCCAGCCTGGAGACAGAGCAAGACTCTGTCTCAAAAAAAAAAAAAAAAAAAAAAAAGAGAAAAAAGAAATTTTTTTTTTTTTTAAATTTTGAGACAGTGTCTTGCTGTTTTGCCCAGGCTCAAGTGCAGTGGCATGATCTTGGCTCACTGCAGTCTCTGCCTCCTAGGTTCAAGCGATTCTCCTGTCTCAGCCTTCTGAGTAGCTGGGATTACAGGTACCCACCAACACAGCTGGCTAATTTTTATGTTTTTAGTAGAGACGGGGTTTCACCATGTTGGCCAGACTCATCTTGAACCCTTGACTTCAGGTGATCCACCTGCCTCGGCCTCCCAAAGTGCTGGGATAACAGGCATGAGTCACTGCTCCTGGCCTAAAATTAAAGCTTTTATCCAACAATATTGTTGCTGGATTTTCTCAGCTGTGGAGTTTTTTTGTTTGTTTGTTTTTTGAGACAGATTTCTTTCTTGTTGCCCAGGCTGGAGTGCAATGGCACTATCTCGGCTCACCACAGCCTTCACCTCCTGGGTTAAAGTAATTCTTCTGGATTCTCCTGCCTCAGCCTCCTGAATAGCTGGGATTACAGGCATGTGCCACCAGGGCCGGCTAATTTTGTATTGTTAGTAGAGACAGGTTTCTCCCACGTTGGTCAGGCTGGTCTTGAACTCCCGACCTTAGGTGATCCACCCACCTAGGCCTCCCAAAGTGCTGGGATTACAGTTGTGAGCCACTGACCTAGGTCAGTTTTTTTTTTTTTTTTTTTTAAGTATTATTGTTTGTGGTTTTCCTAGTAGAATATGTGTTCCTTTGAGGACAGGGACTGTACCTTAATTTACGCTTTTAATCTCCAGCATCTAGCCAATGTCTGACACATACATAATCAGTAAATACTTTGTGTGGCTTGAACATAATTCAATTAATGGATTACAGATACTTCATGACATAAAAGCCCTGTTTTCACCTGGGACCTGGGTTAATTCCTACATATACGGTAAAGGCTTTTGGGGGCAGTTTTAAAGAAAAACCCACTGATGTTTTTTTACTAGTGGTTAATTCACTAGTAGACAAATACTATTGTTAGTGTTCTTTCTTTGGTGCTCTTTTGATTTGTCTGTCCTTTGGTTACTTTGTTTGACCTAGCTTTTGTTTGAATACTACATTTTTGAGTCCAGAATTTAAATTTAGAGAGATAGAAATTGTGCTGTTTTGAACTAGAATGCACAGTAGTCAATGCACAATGGTATACCCTAAAGTCTTGCGGGTAGAGTGGGGGTGGTTTTGTTGACTGTAACTCTGCTATTCAGTGAAGTTCCTGGTAAAGAGCCTTCTGTTGTAGAATTTTGTAGAGCAGTTATTTTTCTTGGACTTTTCACCCCTTTGTTTAACTTGTACGTGAGTAAATGTTAATGATATATCTGTACTCTAGTGCACTAGCTTTTCCCCAAAGACCAAAACTTAGTGGCAGGATTTGGGGAGTTAAGATGAAAATTTTTCTTTCTTTCTTTCTTTCTTTCTTTCTTTCTTTTTTTTTTTTTTTTTTGAGACAGAGTCTCACTCTGTCACCCAGGCTAGAGTGCAATGGCATGATCTTGGCTCACTGCAACCTCCGCCTCCCCATTTCAAGCAATTCTCCTGCCTCAGCCTGTGGAGTAGCTGGGATTACAGGCATGCACCACCATGCGCAGCTAATTTTTTTTGTATTTTTAGTAGAGACAGGGTTTCACCATATTGGTCAGGCTGGTCTTTATCTTCTGACATTGTGATCGCCCATCTTTGCCTCCCATATTTGCTGGGATTACAGGTGTGAGCCACCACGCCTGGCGAGAATATATTCAATTATGGGTCTGAATTTGATAATCTTTCCCATTATTTTTTTAAATTGTATTTTGGAGAAGCAGGGAACCCTTCTGCTTTTTTGTCTTTTTATCACTCTACCCCTATGCCAATATCTAGGTATTTATTTCATCTGTCACCAAATTCTTTCAGCTGTGCTTTCAAAGTAAATTTCAAATCTAGTTGCTGACACTGCTAACCACCCTGGTCTGAGCTATTACCATCTTTTGTCTGGATGATAATAATAGCCTTCCCGTTGGTCTTGCTTCCAGTATTATCCTTCCCCAATCAGTTTTCTATACAACAGCCAAAATGATCTGTAAAAAATGTGAGTTATATCATGTCGTTTTCCTGTATTAGTAACACACTCTGGTTTATTGTTTCAAGTAATTCACCCATAAGAGGTGTTAGTTCTTGAACTAATTTTGACTTGAAAATAGACATTGTGCTTCTTCCCTTTCTAGGAGAAACAGTACAGCATGCTGGGCTCTGGATTTAAAGCTGAGCGCTTAAGAGTCAATTTGAGATTAGTCATAAATCGCCTTAAACTTTTGGAGAAAAAAAAAAGTGAGTAGTGCATGATTGCCTTACCTTTTTTCCCCCCAAAATACATCACTGGATGCTAGCACTCTAGTACTGGATCTTTCAGTGTAGTACTATGAAGTCTTAGGAATCATATCTTTTTTTGTTGTTGCTTTTGTTGAGATGGGGGTCTTACTCTGTTACCCAGGCTGGAGTGAAGTGGTGTGATCTTGGCTTACTGCAGCCTCTACCTCCTGGGTTTAAGCAATTCTTTTGCCTCAGCCTCCCGAGTAGCTGGGATTACAGGCGTGTGCCGCCACACCTGGCTAATTTTCATATTTTTAGTAGAGACGGGATTTCACCATGTTGGCCAGGCTGGTCTTGAACTCCTGACCTCAAAGCCATCCACCTGCCTCAGCCTCCCAAAGTGCTGGGATTACAGGTGTGAGGCACTGTGTCTGGCTGGGGATCTTATCTTTTTTTTTTTTTTTTTTTTTAATTTGAGACGGAGTTTTGCTCTTGTTACCTACCTAGGCTGGACTGCAATGGCGCGATCTCGGCTCACCGCAACCTCCGCCTCCTGGGTTCAGGCAATTCTCCTGCCTTAGCCTCCTACGTAGCTGGGATTATAGGCACGTGCCACCGTGCCCAGCTAATTTTTTGTATTTTTAGTAGAGATGGGGTTTCACCATGTTGACCAGGATGGTCTCGATCTCTTGACCTCATGATCCACCCGCCTCAGCCTCCCAAAGTGCTGGGATTACAGGCTTGAGCCACCGAGCCCTGCCCTTATCTTTTAATCTTTGGATACATTTCTGCCCTTTGTGACTAGTCAGACTGAGTCCCTTGGTTGCAGAGAAAGGGACATGCTCTGTTGTTAAGGAATTAGGTAATCTGACTCCTGAGTTGGAACTGTTAAGCCACAGGAGCTCTATTTTCTCACCGAGTCAGAATAGCAATTTCTACAGTAGATGGGATGGGACTAGGTTTGTTAAGGGAGAGGAGCTAGGATATAATAGAAACACCCAGTTCTTCCTGTTGAGGGGAGATTGGCCTGTAGGCCAGATGCCAGTGCTCTACTGCTATGAGATTGGAGTGGGATCTGTGTCATAGCGGAACTGGCCCAGAAAGCAAGGAAGGAGATTGCCGACTATCTGGCTGCTGGGAAAGATGAACGAGCTCGGATCCGTGTGGAGCACATTATCCGGGAAGACTACCTTGTGGAGGCCATGGAGATCCTGGAGCTGTACTGTGATCTGCTGCTGGCTCGGTTTGGCCTTATCCAGTCTATGAAGTAAGATACTATGATTAAAAGATCTAAATCATTTCTGGAATTTGAAAAAGGAGTGATATGGTCTCTTTCTGCATCAGGGGGCTAGCATTAGGGGACTGTTTCACATGCCCAAGGCTCTTCTTCCTAACAGTTGCTTAAAGGCCTGATCTCAATGTAGATGATAACTGCTAAAATGAAAATGTAGGATCTGAAACTGAGAAGCCTAAATTTGAATCTTGGCTCAACCATTTTCTGACTTAATGGCATTGGCCTTGTTTGGTAGTTTTGAGTTTCTCCAGAAGTAAAATAAGATCACAAAAATAGCTAGAAGCCTAGAGTTATTGTGAGAATCCAGTGAGATTCATAAAATAGCTTTGGAGGCTATAAAGTATATGAAACAAAAGCTACGATTTTTTTTGGTTTATTTTAAAGAATGTTATATTAATTTTTTCCTCGATTAGGGAGCTAGATTCTGGTCTGGCTGAATCTGTGTCTACACTGATCTGGGCTGCTCCTCGACTCCAGTCAGAAGTGGCTGAGTTGAAAATAGTGAGTACAAGTAGTTTCAGTGATGTTTGTAACTTTTCATATTGTTAGGAAGGTGGGTTCATATAAGTTACTTCTGCTGATTTGACCAGGTATTTTGTACCCTTCTTAGGTTGCTTTTGAAATAGGTTTTGTAAATTTATTTGTTTTTCCTTTTCAGACTTACAGAACAGTGTTTTTGTAAACTTGAGTAATTTTTTTAAGGAGCACAGCTTTGTGTATCTCCAGTTGTGTCTTAATGTTACTTAACTCAGTGCAAATAGAGAAGTTTTTATGCAACTGTAAACCAGTAAAGTTAAAATAACATTAATTTAAGGTGACAGATGTTTTTGCTTTATTAATTCCACAAATATTTATTAAGTAAATTGTATAAGCTATGTGAGTGCTGTGATGAGCAAAATATTGCACCAGCCATACTCCTTTAGCTTAGAGTCTAGAAAAACAGACAGACATTAACCAGAAAATTGCACATCACAACATGGATATGGTACTGACTGCTGGGATACAAATTCAGTTGTGTTGTTTTCTACATCTTTACCTTTCTTTTTCCTAGGAGATTGTCTCATTCTTGTCTCCCAAACCATCTACTGAGATTTCCTTGTTTTCTAGGTTTTTTTGAATAACTCTTTTTAATTCTCTGAATATATTTTATAGTCCTTTTTTTTTCATGGCTACAATGTTTTCTGAGTCTCTGAGGATATTATAGTTTATTTTTAAACTTCCGTCATGTTTGTTTCTCTCAAATTCATTTTTCCTATTTCTTAGTTTTATAGTAGAGACTTTTCTGAAGATTTAGTGGTCCTTGGCTGTCGGTTTACATTTAAGAGCGAGGCACTATAAAGCAGATTGGAACCTTGTGTGCATGGGTGGGTTTTTACTGCCAGATTGTTGAGTGGTCTGACTAAGCTCTTATATGGAGGAATTCCAGACTGTCAGGAACTAGTTGTCTTTCCTTGGGTTGGTCGTTTTCTCCAGAATCCTCCTCCCTTCTGCCTAGACTGTATAAACTGGCTGCCAGCATTTCTGAGAGCCCAGTGGAGAAGGAAGCCAAAAATCTATTTGATATGTAGAAGACTTACACTTAATTCTTCTGTTGTAAGTATCACTGCTGTCTCCTGTGTATAGACTCCAGAGTCCCGTTAGTTTGCCCACCCCAGAGAATAAACCTCTGATAGTCCGATAGGGTACCGGTGGCAGTCATTGAGTTTTGGGGGCAGAGAACAGGGACAATAGAGGCAACTGATTCTTATGTAGACTTTTTTTTTTTTTTTTTTTTTTTTTGAGATGGAGTCTTGCACTGTTGCCCAGGCTGGCGTGCAATGGTGTGATTTTGGCTCACTGCAACCTCCGCCTCCTGAGTTCAAGGCATTCTCCTGCCTCAGCCTCCAGAGTAGCTGGAATTACAGGTGCCTGCCATCATGCCCGGCTAATTTTTTGTATTTTTCGTAGAGACAGGGTTTCATCATGTTGACCAGGCTGGTTTCGAACTCCTGACCTTGTGATCTGCCTGCCTCAGCCTCCCAAAGTGCTGGGATTGGAGGTGTCGGCCACCATACCTGGCCATTTTTGGTCTCTTGTATACTCCTTTAAAATTCATCTCAGAGTGGAAAAGGCTTAAATATGTCACAAAAACTTTAGAGCCATAAAAAAGAGTGATAAATTAGTATAAATAAAAATCTGTGTAGTATAAAGCAAAACAAAAGCCTTAAAAGACAAATGCCATTTATGTTATAGGTGCCAGGTACCCCTGAAAGTCTTCATAGTGAATAGTGAGAACTCTCCTACTGGGCTTCTGGAATGTTGGGACCACTCTGGTCCAATGCTACTATCATTTCCTCTCTGGAAATGAGAGTAGCTTCTTGAATACTCTTCCTATTCCTGTTTCGGTTTCTTTTAATCTTTTCACCATTCTGTCAGAACCACCTGAGGGTTTTGTCCAAAACACAGCTCTGATCCTGTCACTACATCTTGCTTTAAAGCCCTTTAGTAGCTTTCTGTGGCTCTTGTGGTAGAAACAAAACTCCCTAATGTGGCTACATGGTCCTCTGTTGTCGGGCTCCTACCACACTTCTTGGACTCTGCACTAGAGGTTCACTGACTTGATTTCAGGCTTGAGGAATGACCATCATGTTTTTTTCCACCAGTGGCCTTTGCACTGCTCTTTTCTTTTCCTGGAATGCTCTTCCTTCCACATTTAGTTAACGCCTAGTCATCCTTTATTATTTGAGACAGGGTCTTGCTCTGTCACCCATGCTGGAGTGCAGTGGCACGATCTCAGCTTACAGCAGCCTCAGCTTTCCAGGCTCAAGTGATCATCCTCCACTTAAGTGAGTAGCTGAGACCACATGTGCACACCACCGTGCCCAGCTAGTTTTTGTATTTTAAAAATAGAGACGAGGGTTTTGCTATGATGCCCAGGCTGGTTTTGAACACCTGAGCTCAAGTGATCTGCCCACCTCAGCCTTACAAAGTGTTGGGATTATATGCATGAGCCACCATGCCTGGCTTTAGTCATCCTTTAAATGTCAGCAAAGCATCAGTTCCTTCAGGAAGCCTTACCTGACTTTATCACATCTGATTCTGCTGTTAGAAGCTGGTAATAACATGGTACATCTTCCCTTGATATCACTTACTGTAGTTGCAGTTGTACCTTTATCTGTGTGGTTATTTGATTAATGACTAAGACTCAACAGGAACAGTATCTGGTTTGTTCATCTTTTTTTTTATAGTGTATATCATAACACTCATGATAGTAGCACTTGAGTGTTGCTTATTGGAAGGATGAGATGGTTGATTAATATGTACCCCTTAAGGTGTTGCAGATTCCCATGTTTTGGAAATCTTGTAATAGACATATTTGTTGTTGCCAGTAAGAAGCTTAAAGCAGTCTGTTGGAGTGGTCTCTATTTTTATTTACTGTCCTTTTTCTCTTTAGGTTGCTGATCAGCTCTGTGCCAAGTATAGCAAGGAATATGGCAAGTTATGTAGGACCAACCAGATTGGAACTGTGAATGACAGGGTAATGAATATACTTGGTAAACATGAAGCAGTGTGTGGGTGGGAGCAGTTTATTGTATTGCCTGTAGCAATTCTAGTGGGTACCATTGTATGGCTCAGTATAGGGTTTCACATTTCATAGTGGGGTGAGAAGGACAGCTGTGTGGCTGGCATTGTGATCCAATCTTTACACCTGCCCAATTCATCCCGTAGTTGTCATTCATACACCTCGTGTCATTTGTGAAGGTGGAAAGTGAGGCAGGGAGAAGGGTGGATGAATTGAACCGTGGAAGGTAGCAGTATTGTCTTTTACCAGCATCTGGGTCACGTGTAATGAGAATGTGAAAGAGAGATGTTGGGCCTCTGATGTCGTTTGACTCTGAAAAATAATTTTAACTGCTCTGAACTTTTTTTTTCCTTCAGTGTTAACCTATAAAATGAGAGGAGGTAACTTTACATAGTGAAGTTAGGATTAGGCTGGTTGGTATAGATGCATCTTAGACCTGGTTCTTTCTACTTAACAGCTAATGCACAAACTGAGTGTGGAAGCCCCACCTAAAATCCTGGTGGAGAGATACCTGATTGAAATTGCGAAGAATTACAATGTACCCTATGAGCCTGACTCTGTGGTCATGGTAAGTTAATCCCAGAACACAAAGAAAAATGAGTTTATAGGTATGGCCTTCTTTGCACTAACTTAAAGTGTGAGTGTAAGCCTTTTTGTCCAGGTAGTACCTTTTTGACTGGCAATAAATGTGCCTGTGTATCTGAGGGTTCCTAAGGATCATTAGATGACTGACTGACAACACTTTAGAAGGTCCAAACCTTGATACAAATGTAAAATGGCACCATTATTGCTACTTTTTGGTGAACTTCAGGAATTGAGAAACCTCCTGTTGATAGCAAGGAATGCCCCAAGACCCAAACAGTTCCCAAAACGTTTATTGGGTACCCACCATGTGTCAGATGGTGCACAGAAAGCTGAGAATACAGGAAAAAAGATCCAGCAGTTAAGGTTGGTGGGATATGGTAGATGCTTTGGTTTGCTGCCCAGACATCCCCATTACTCACAGTTGGGAACACCATCAGGTCCATTCCGGCTGCAGAAGTCATTGGGGAATTGGCTGAGGCCTTTGTTGTGATTGTGTTGCAGCCCAACTTCTTCCACCCACCTCTGCCTCCTTTTTTTCCCCCATAGGTGTTGATCCCAGAAGCACTCCAGGAAACTTGCTTTATGCTAATCTCCATCTCAGAGTCTGCTTTCTGGGGAATCTGGCCTTGGACATGGGTTAATGACATGGGTTTCTCTCTCTCTCTCAGGCAGAAGCCCCACCTGGGGTAGAGACAGATCTTATTGATGTTGGGTTCACAGATGATGTGAAGAAAGGAGGCCCTGGAAGAGGAGGAGGAGGGGGTGGTGGCTTCATAGCACCAGTTGGTGGACCTGATGGAACAGTGCCAATGCCCATGCCCATGCCCATGCCATCTGCAAATACGCCTTTCTCATATCCACTGCCAAAGGGACCAGTAAGTATACATAAGTGTGGATGTAAGCTTTAGAAAATGTTACAGAAGGTGACAAGTTGGCTCTGTGAATACACTGAAGAGTTGTAGGTTGTCAGGAGCTGTTAGCAGTAGGAACATTTGGTATTAGCTGGCAGTCATCTGGGGGGGGGGGGAATCATTGGATTCAGAGGTCTTTTAGTTCAGCTGTAGGAAAGTCTATAGAGATGGTGCCAGTAAAACACTTTCATAAAGGTTTCTTGAATATCTGGGATCTGTTATAGTCATACTATTAGCTTTTTCCACCACCACTTTATTACCATGCAGAAAAGCCTTTGTAGATAAGATGGTCATTGCTAGTAAGAAAGTCTGATTAGAATTTTCCCTTGTAAACATTGAAGCACTTGATTACATAAAGAATAGCCTTTGGCTGTAGATCTTTAAAAATCTAGAATCCTTCTGACCACATGTGGCCCTTTTGGGTATTTTTGTTTTAAGGATCTTGAATATTTGTATATATTCAGTATGAGAATATAAATGTATGTATTTCTCCCTTCCCATACCCAAACCTCAGAAACTGCAAACTGGGGGCAGTGTCTCTTATGTTGCCTTTCTCCTCTTACAGTCTGATTTCAATGGATTGCCAGTGGGGACTTATCAGGCCTTTCCCAATATTCATCCACCTCAGATACCAGCAACTCCCCCATCGTATGAATCTGTAAGTGCCTGAGCCTCTTTTATAAGCAACAGGAGAGTGAATTCCATGAAGAGCAAGCAAAATAATGACCACAGGAAAGGCAGAGTTTTGATCAACTCATAGTACCGTCATCATCCTTGCTTTGGGATTCTTGTTTTGCTTTATAACATTACCCTGGATATGGGGAGTGGTGGTAATGGCAGTATTGTTGGTGGCAGTGCTTTGTCCACAATTAAGCTGGGCATCAGGAAGGAACTGCAGATTTCTTAGAAAGTTGTAGTGCACTATGAGGGCACTTAACTAGTTGTTTGACTAACTAGGCAAAGGATCACATTGAGCTGATAAAGTTGTGGTGCTGGAGTATCATAATTATTAAAATATTCATCTTATATGTTCTCAACACATGTAAAGGAATATTGATGAGAATTATCCAGTTAATAGATGTCTGCCAGTAGTATTGATTTCACATTTTAGTATTCTAGTCAAAACTTACTAATAATGAATAGCTAATATAGTAATGATACCTTGAACTGGAGGTGGTTTAGTGCTTGTTTTTGACCAGCCTTGTTTCTTCAGTTACTGTATGCCTTTTGAGACCTGTCACCATCTGGTTTTTTACTGAGAAACAAATTGGTGTGGCATTTGCTATGTAAATTACTCATCTAGGAAGTTCTTCCTGTTCCTGAGCTTGCTTTCTGTTCTTTCCTTTGATTTCCATCTCTAGCTGACGTGCTCTACCTTGGGCTTGAGTTTTTCTTATGCTTTGCTTTTGCATGTGTCAGAGCTGGAATGAGGTCGAAAACCTTCATCAGTATTTGAGGACTTGGTTCTTACAGATATATTCAGGAATGCTTTCTCTTTGCCCAAAGGTGTCAGTGTGGTAAGGATTTTTTTTCTTTGGCAGTTAAGAGTTCAACATGAGGCTGGGCCCGGCGGCTAATGCTTGTAATCCCAGCACTGTGGGAGGCCGAGGCGGGCAGATCACCTGAGGTCAGGAGTTTGAGACCAGCGTGGGCAACATAGTGAAACCCTGTCTCTACCCAAAATATAAAAATTGGCCAGGCATGGTGCTGCATGCCTACAGTCCTACCTATGTGGAAGGCTGAGGCAGGGCAATGACTGGAGCCCAGAAAGTAGATGCTGCAGTGCGTCGTGATTGCACCACTGCACTCCAGCCGGGGTAACAGAAGGAGACCCTCTCTCAATTAAAAACAAAGGCCGGGCGCGGTGGCTTGAGCCTGTCATCCCAGCACTTTGGGAGGCCGAGGTGGGTGGATCACGAGGTCAAGAGATCGAGACCATCCTGTTCAACATGGTCTCTACTAAAAATGCAAAAAATTAGCTGGGCATGGTGGCACATGCCTGTAATCCCAGTTACTCAGGAGGCTGAGGCAGGAGAATTGCCTGAACCCAGGAGGCAGAGGTTGCGGTGAGCCGAGATTGCGCCATTGCACTCCAGCCTGGGTAACAAGAGCGAAACTCCATCTCAAAAAACAAAAGAAAAAACAAAGGAGTTTAACATGGTATCTACCTGATTGGAAGAAATGCAGGGGCTGTTTCTTTGGAGCAGGCTCTGTTGCACTTGGTGAGCAACTCAGGTTTTGGAAACACAGGGGCTTATATCAGTTCTTTCTTCAGTGATGCCATTGCTGTTTCCTCTGGTAACAATCTTTGTGTTTCAGGTTGATGACATTAATGCTGATAAGAATATCTCTTCTGCACAGATTGTTGGTGAGTAGTATCAGTCTGAAACCTTCAGGGCTTAGTGCTGAATCCTCAGCTATTTTCTCATTATTGTTCCTCCCTTAGAGAGTGTTTCCATGCCCATGGCATTCTATCTGCATGCCCTGTTCTCATCCCACATGCTAAAATACAACTCAGGATATCCTGCTTCCAAAGATTAAAGATTTTCCCTGGCCCAGAAGCAGCTCCCAAGTTCCCTCTTCCTGTCAGTGGTATCAATATTCTTTTTCAGTCATGCTTGACTTCTTTATATTATCTCTGCTTCAGCTTAGCTTACATTGTGCCTCAAATAGCTCCGTGAATTTTACAAAGCAAACCTGTTCATGTAGCTATCAGTTAAACACTGGCCAGGTGTGGTGACTCACATTTGTAATCTGAGTACTTGGGGAAGCAGAGGCAGAAGGACCACTTGAGGTCAGGAGTTTGAGATCAGCCTGGGCAACATAGCAAAATCCTGTTTCCACAAAATATTAAAAAGAAAAACAAAAAACAAACAAAAAAAAACCCATAGCTGGGCTTGGTGGTGGAGACCTGTGGTCACAGCGAGCTATCATTGTATTCCAGCCTGAATGACAAAGTGAGGCCCTGTCTTAAAAATTAAGATACTACCAGGAACCCAGAGGATTCTGCCTCCTGAATTCAAGTGATTCTCCTGACTCAGCCTCCCAAGTAGCTGGGACTACAGGTGCACACCACCATACCTGGTTAATTTTTGTATTTTTAGTAGAGACGGGGTTTCACCATGTTGGCCAGGCTATTCTTGAACTCCTGACCTCAGGTGATCTACCACGCCCTGCCAGAAGAATACTTTTAAAATTAGAGACAGTTGTTTTGTGGAGATATAATTTACATTAAAAACCCCATAGATTTTAAGTATGTGTATGATGTATACACACACACACACACAATCCTACTCTGTGATCAAGGAATACAATGTTATTCTTACCTCAAAGTTCCCTTACTTCCAGCCAACTCTGCCCTTTCCTCCAGAGTCAGAGCACTATTTGGATTTTTTTTGTAATTTAGTTTTCCTCATTCTAGAACTGATGAAAACATAGAGTAGGTGTGTGTTGGGGTGTGATTTTAACATAAACTACTAAATGGAAGACTGGAAATACAGATCAGACCATTTTATCAAATAACGTGGACATTTATTCCTTTAAAAAAAACTTTGCCCCCAACCCCTAAAGAGTGTTGGTTCTGAAGGAAGCAGTGTTCTAGCAGAATCCTATTCCACTCCTTGGACTTGGTTGTTAAAGGAGCAGACCTTATGAAAGGGACACTCCCTTTAGATGATTGCTCTGTGGATATGGCCCCATGTAGCCCACTTTTTTCTCACTACAGGAAAGTAAAACAGATAGGATTCAACCCTAATTAGAAAATGTAGATGTTAGCCTTCAGAATTAAAATTTTTGGTAGCCAGGTGTGGTGGTTCACACCTGTAATCCCAGCACTTTGGGAGGCTGAGGTGCATGAATCACTTAAGATGAGGAGTTTGAAGACCAGCCTGGCCAACATGGTGAAACCCTATCTCTATTAAAAATCCAAAAATTAGCCAGGCGTGGTGGTGCCTGCCTGTAGTCCCAGCTACTCAGGAGGCTGAGGCAGGAGAATCACTTGAACAGATCATGCCACTCCACTCCAGCCTGGGCAACAGAGAGACTCACTAAAAAAATTTTTTTAACTAGTGTTTTCTCCTGGATCTGCTGTATTTACTGAGAATGGGGATCTGGGTCATTTCTTTGGTGTTTGTAACATTGTGCTCCTTGCCCTAATTGAATCAGGTCCTGGACCCAAGCCAGATGCCTCTGCGAAGCTTCCTTCCAGACCTGTGGATCACTATGACAACTTTGTCTTACCAGAGTTGCCGTCTGTGCCAGACACACTACCAACTGCATCTGCTGGTGCCAACACCTCAGCCTCTGAAGACATTGATTTTGATGATCTTTCACGGAGGTTTGAAGAGCTGAAAAAGAAAACATAGGTCTCTTAAACCAGGCAACTTTCACATTCTGGGAGTTGAGACTGAGCAATCTCTCCTTGTAACAAAGAATCTCCATGAAATTCCGTTTCATCTGTTAACCATCACTGAGCACAACACTCCTCTGGGTTCTCTTCCTGCTCCTCCAGATTCTGCTGCTTTCCAGTTCTCTGTTGATCCTAACTGGAGACTGAGGCCGGAGCAGCTGGCTCCTGGCAGCTGTGCTTGTAGGTTTCTTGTCAGAGCGATCCCAGGTTTCCTCCTGGCCCATCCCACGGTCCCTCCACGGGAGCATGAGAGGAGGGGAAGCACTGTGGAGAGACCACCAAAGATGGCTGGACAGTGGGAGAGAGCACCTCATGAAATGTCCCAGCCTTGTGTTGAGGTTCCAGACTTAGGAAAAAACCCCTCTGTACAAGGGGACTGTGGTGAATGAAAATCAAGGCCACGGTGCGTGTTTTCTCATGCTCTAATGCGACTGGGAGAGAGAAAATGACTCAGGACGCCATTGTAACGGTTCCTGGAAGCTGGGCCCTCTCATTGGCATACACGCTACTCCTCGCCGCAGGGCACTGTCCCACCGGGATCCAGTTGCAAAGTTTGTCTCAACAATTGAAGGCCTCGCTTAGTTATACTGGATTCTCAGGGAGCCCTCTGTGGCCTTTTGCTTTGAGTGCTGTATTTCCCTTTTACCAGAGGGCAGCACTGTGGAAATTCCTGTTTTTCCCATAGCATATTCTCTTGGATTGTATTACTGGCAAAGATAGGACACGTTGCCATTCAAGTCTAAGGTGGGCTTCCAGCTGCCTTAATAGAAGTACTCAAGTCTTTTGGGTAGTGAGCTGGAAAGCCTACAGGAAAAGAGGGGTACCTGTTTCCATTTGAAAACTGATTCATGGAACCTTTAAAACTAATCTCAGATAAATTTTTGGTGCCCATGCAGCTGTAGCTGTTCACTGCTTTCCTGGGTGGATGGGACTCTCATGTTGTAACTTCTGTACTCCTTTGGCGCATAGCTAAGGCCATCCTTCCCCACGGGGTGGCTTTGGGATTGGATATGGCTTTCGCTTCTGTGTAGTATACCTGTACATACCTGTTTCAAGCAGCCTTTCTTTAATGTTTTCAGTTGGTTTGTATTCTGTAGCTCAGTAGCTGCTAATAAAGTTAAAGATCCTGTGTCCTGCTCCCTCTGTTTGCTCAGATGATGAAGTAGAAACCTGGAGTTCAGTGGACAATATTTTAACCAAGTGATCCATGTCAACCAGCCCTTAACTTCAGGATTCCTGGAGCAGTGCAGGGCTCATTTTGATCTCTGTATTTAGATGATAGCCCAGATAGCATCTGTGAATTTGGTCCTCCTTAGTGGCAGGGCTCTGCATCTGCCATGCCTCATCCTCGTATATTTATTTTTAGTAAGTTGCAGTGAGCTCACTTCCGACTCCTCTGTTTCCCAAGCCATCTTGGGCCATGGGTGGTGAGTGTTCTGTTACTTGGTGCTTGACAGCCGAGCTGGTTTGTCTGGTAGTATTCTTGTGGTGTTAATCCTATCTTGACAGTGCCAAGATCTGTAAGAACTTGGGACCAAGGGAATTCCAATGTCTCACTAACTTACAGAATTAAAAACAAAGTATATTACTGTAAAGTCATGCCATGCGAAGATAAGTAGTAATATGCTAAGAAATACTAAGCCACGTAGGAGAAAACAGGATTAAGGTAGTTCATCTTCTAAAACTTCAGTGTCAATGCCCATTGATGTCGTAGCTGCTTGCTCAGATGACGTTTTTTGGGGCTGACGGATTCCTAGCAAACTTGAGAGCTTCTGTAGCAGCATATCTATTAGTGCAACTTGTCTCTGAGTATTTGAAGACAAAAAGAGAAATGGGAGAAAACTGAAATTACTAATACTAGAGTAAAAATGTACCATAGATTTTTAAAAATTAGTTAATGTGTAGTAAAGATACTATTTCTTTAATAATTTACAGTCAGGCATTGGAGTGTTTCCACTAATTAATGGTTGAGACCCAGCTATTTATAGGACAGTGACTATGGAACATTACACAGTCTTATAAATTGGATTTCCTAGGCAGATAGCTGGCAAAGCTTCTGAAATAAAAGTAATATGATTCTGTGCATTATAAATAAACTCTCAGGGGCAACTACAGTGGAGTTTTCCCAGTGACATAACAGTATGCTGGTTTATTTTTTAGTTACCTACCTTAAGTGACTTTCTTTCTTTTCCAAAGGCCATTAGAATGGCAGAAACAAAAAGATTAATTACCACAAGTACCATCAAGATGACACTGGTGAGGATCAGAAAGGTGCCCAGGACTGGGTCTAAAGCGATAACCTGGGAAGACAGTAACACTTGGCTGTGACTGACCGTTTAGTTTCAACTTTACAAACATAAGCTATATGCTAAAGTTTGGGATCTTTTCAGAAGAAAAGCTTATCTGATGAAAACATAAGGAGAGAGGCAAAAAGATATTAAGAAGGAAGTATGTGTTTTTTGGTTTTTTTTTTTTTGAGATGGAGTCTCTGTTGCCCAGGTTGGAGTGCAGTGGTGTGATCTCAGCCCACTGCAACCTCCACCTCCTGGGTTGAAGAGATTCTCCTGCCTCAGCCTCCCAAGTAGCTGGGATTACAGGCGCATGCCACGACACCCGTCTAATTTTTGTATTTTTAGTAGAGACGGGGTTTTACCATGTTAGACTAGTCTCAAACTCCTTTCCTCGTGATCTGCCCGCCTCAGCTCCCAAAGTGCTGGGATTACAGGCATGAGCTACCACACCCAGGGGAAAAGACTTATAAACGAACAGAGGAGCAGGAACGACTGATTTTAAGGAGGTAAGATAATTTTGACTTCAGGGCCTTCACAAGAAGAAAACAGGTGAGTTTCAGTGGAATTGGAAATGATTCAAATGTCACACGAGTTTTGGCAATTCCAAAAAATGCATCTAATCATGGAAGCTAAAGGGTCGCGCACACTGAAAGAATAAATGCATACCAGAAGTGAGAATGCAAACTGTCTCTGCTGTATCAAGAAACCACAACTCTAAATAACAAGAGCATTCCAATAGAAGTTAACAGGTTGGCCACAGAAAACTGGCTTTTTAGTACTTTTTTATTTCCCATTGTTATTTTTAAAGGTGTAAGTATTGAGTTCTGTCATTCTTTTAGTTTTCTGCATAAATAAACATCAAGTTCTGGGCTTACTAGAATGGTTGCCATAACAAAATTTTTAAAAATTTAGGTGTTCTTTATCAACATGGTATTTTCCCTTGGTACTGTGCCATTCATTGTTGCCACGAGGGCACTGTTTATGATAATCACCCCCTTTCAGGATATTTTTAAACACTACCCTGATGGAAATCTTTATGACAAAATATTTTCAAGCACCAAACTGTTACCCACTTAAAAATGCTTATAAAAATTTCAGGTCAACCAGATAATATGGGTAATCTCTCGAGTTTGTGATACAAGACTTTTTTCCAATAAGTTTACTCTATTTTTATGATATACAATTACATCAAAAGCAGAAAAGTTTGTTTTTTTTCCCCAATCAAAAAGCAGGTATCATCAAAAGTTTGTTATTCTGATTGTTACTTCCTTCACTTGCTTTGGATACAAAGTGCTGCAGTGGTGAAGGCTCATCCCCTAGTTATTGGAGCGAGGGCCACAACAGAACAGCCCAGTCAGCAAAAATAGCAGTTACAGTTGTCCCTCAGTATCTGAGAGACATTGGCTCCAGGGGCTCCACAGGTACCAAAATTTGAGGATGCTTAAGTCCCTTATTTTTATTTTTTTATTTATTGCAAGCTTCCCTAAAGGTTAAGAAAGTGTTCCTCTCACCCAACCGTTTAAAAAAATTTTTTTAGATGCAGTCTCCCTCTGTCACCCAGGCTGGACTACAGTGGCACGATCTCGGCTTACTGCAACCTCCACCTCCCAGGGTCAACCAGTTCTGCCTCAGCCTCTTGAGTGGCTTGCATTACAGGTTCCCACCACCATGCCCAGCTAATTTTTGTATTTTAGTAGACATGGGGTTTCACCATTTTGGCCAGGCTGGTCTTGAACTCCAGACCTGAAGTGACCTGCCCCACCTTGGCCTCCCAAAGTGCTGGGATTACAGGTGAGCCACTGTGCCCAGCTTAGAAAGTCCCTTTTTAAAAATGACACAGTATTTGCGTAAACCCAATATACATCTCTCCTATACTTGAATCTTTAGATTACCTTTAGTACCTAATGCAGTGTAAATAGCATAAATGCTAGGTAGAATAGTTACACCAGTTTTTTTTTTTTTTTTTTTTTTTTTTTTGGTGGGAGAAGGTCTCGCTGAGCCTTAACACAATCATAGCTCACTGCAGCCTCACTCCTGGGCTCAAGCAATCTTCACTTCAGCCTCCTAAGTGGAACTACAGGTACACACTACCATGCCCGACTCTTCTACTGTATTTTAAGATTGGTGTTTTTATTGTTACCTTCAAATATCTGGGGTTGGTTGAATCTGTGGATGTGGAACCTGTGGATACAACATTAGAAACTGAACCTACCACCTATTTTAATTAGTAATTTTGAAATTGTAGATCATCAGAATGGTCAACCATTATCAAAATCTTGCCAGTTTCATTGCTTAAATGGCAGATTTTTCCTTGCCTGAACATGTCTACCCTTTATACTAGTGTTTGGAGGCCAATGCCTCATTTGGATTTCCTACTTTATATGATGAGTAGGAAGGCAGGGATTTCTATTGGTAGTTCCTGGGAGGAAATAATAGGCTCTCTGAAGTATTTATTAACTGAACAGAAATAATGCAGTTCCTCTTGGAACTGTACCTTCAAAATTCTTTGTCACTTCCATTATGTCGCTTTGAGAGTGTCTTACTCTTGCCCAGGCTGGAGTACAGTGATACAATCTCGGCTCACTGCAATCTCCACCTCCCAGGTTCAGGCAATTCTCCTGCCTCAGCCTCTCCAGCAGGTGGGATTACAGGGATGCACTACCATACCCGGCTAATTTTAAAAGGGCTGTTGAGAAACACCAAAACGCCCGGCTAATTTTTGTATTTTTAGTAGAGACAGGGTTTCACCATGTTGGCCAGGCTGGTCTTTAGCTCATGACCTCAAAGTGATCCTCCAGCCTTGGCCTCCTAAAGTATTGTGATTACAGGTATGAGCCACTGCACCTGGATTTTTTTTTTTTTTAATAGACACAGGGTCTGGAGTGCAGTGGCATGATCATGGCTCACTGCAGCCTTCAAATCCTGGGCTCAGAGGATCCTCCCGCCTTAGCCTCCTGAGTGGCTAAGACTATAGAGTGTGCCACCACACTTGGCTAATTTTTATACTTTTCGTAGAGACAGAGTCTCACTATGTTGCCCAGATTGGTCTCAAATTCTTGGCCTTAAGCAGTCCTCTGTTGGCCTCTCACGGCTTGAGCTAACTCACCCCGCCCTGTAAATGCACTTTAAAAGGGCCGTTGAGAAACACCAAATCATGTTAATCAAGTCAAGCACAACAGTATGAGGTTTGGCCCTGAGTTTTTTGCTAATAATAATATTAAGGACACAAGAAATGAGGAAGGAGGGACTAAGTGCTTAGGAAAGGGCAGATTTCTGAAAGCAACAGCCATGTATACACTGTATGTGTACGCAGTACCATGAAGCAAAAGAGCAAAGGACTGAAATATCCCACCTTTCCAGTGTGTCGTGCACAGTAGGGGGCTGTTTTCATAAGGAGCACCCCCTCCCAACTCTCCTTGTTAAAAATATTCAATAAATTCTGTGGAGAAACTAATTTGTTTTTTTTTTTTTTACCTCCTCTTGGTGAGAAATTCCCGTCAGGAGACCAACAATGGTCACAGCTGAGCTGAAAAACGTCTGGTAGTCAGAGACGTTGCATCCAAACAGCAGGTTAAACTGAACAGAAGGCGAAAAGCCTGTTAGTGTGAGGGAGCACCCATCTTTCTGTCCTGAGGTGTGTGAGGGAGCACCCATCTTTCTGTCCTGAGGTTTGTTAGTGTGAGGGAGCACCCATCTTTCTGTCCTGAGGTTAGTGTGAGGGAGCACCCATCTTTCCGTCCTGAGGTTAGTGTGAGGGAGCACCCATCTCCGTCCTGAGGTTAGTGTGAGGGAGCACCCATCTTTCTGTCCTGAGGTGTGTGAGGGAGCACCCATCTTTCCGTCCTGAGGTTAGTGTGAGGGAGCACCCATCTTTCCGTCCTGAGGTGTGTTAGTGTGAGGGAGCACCCATCTTTCCGTCCTGAGGTTAGTGTGAGGGAGCACCCATCTTTCTGTCCTGAGGTGTGTGAGGGAGCACCCATCTTTCTGTCCTGAGGTTTGTTAGTGTGAGGGAGCACCCATCTTTCCGTCCTGAGGTTAGTGTGAGGGAGCACCCATCTTTCCGTCCTGAGGTTAGTGTGAGGGAGCACCCATCTTTCTGTCCTGAGGTGTGTGAGGGAGCACCCATCTTTCTGTCCTGAGGTGTGTGAGGGAGCACCCATCTTTCCGTCCTGAGGTTAGTGTGAGGGAGCACCCATCTTTCCGTCCTGAGGTTAGTGTGAGGGAGCACCCATCTTTCCGTCCTGAGGTTAGTGTGAGGGAGCACCCATCTTTCTGTCCTGAGGTGTGTGAGGGAGCACCCATCTTTCTGTCCTGAGGTGTGTGAGGGAGCACCCATCTTTCTGTCCTGAGGTTTGTTAGTGTGAGGGAGCACCCATCTTTCCGTCCTGAGGTTAGTGTGAGGGAGCACCCATCTTTCTGTCCTGAGGTTTGTTAGTGTGAGGGAGCACCCATCCTTCTGTCCTGAGGTTAGTGTGAGGGAGCACCCATCTTTCTGTCCTGAGGTGTGTGAGGGAGCACCCATCTTTCTGTCCTGAGGTTTGTTAGTGTGAGGGAGCACCCATCCTTCTGTCCTGAGGTTAGTGTGAGGGAGCACCCATCTTTCTGTCCTGAGGTGTGTGAGGGAGCACCCATCTTTCTGTCCTGAGGTGTGTGAGGGAGCACCCATCTTTCTGTCCTGAGGTTTGTTAGTGTGAGGGAGCACCCATCTTTCCGTCCTGAGGTTAGTGTGAGGGAGCACCCATCTTTCCGTCCTGAGGTTAGTGTGAGGGAGCACCCATCTTTCTGTCCTGAGGTTAGTGTGAGGGAGCACCCATCTTTCTGTCCTGAGGTGTGTGAGGGAGAACCCATCTTTCTGTCCTGAGGTTTGTTAGTGTGAGGGAGCACCCATCTTTCCGTCCTGAGGTTAGTGTGAGGGAGCACCCATCTTTCCGTCCTGAGGTTAGTGTGAGGGAGCACCCATCCTTCTGTCCTGAGGTTAGTGTGAGGGAGCACCCATCTTTCTGTCCTGAGGTGTGTGAGGGAGCACCCATCTTTCCGTCCTGAGGTTAGTGTGAGGGAGCACCCATCTTTCCGTCCTGAGGTTAGTGTGAGGGAGCACCCATCTTTCCGTCCTGAGGTTAGTGTGAGGGAGCACCCATCTTTCTGTCCTGAGGTGTGTGAGGGAGAACCCATCTTTCTGTCCTGAGGTTTGTTAGTGTGAGGGAGCACCCATCTTTCTGTCCTGAGGTTAGTGTGAGGGAGCACCCATCTTTCCGTCCTGAGGTTAGTGTGAGGGAGCACCCATCTTTCTGTCCTGAGGTTAGTGTGAGGGAGCACCCATCTTTCTGTCCTGAGGTTAGTGTGAGGGAGCACCCATCCTTCTGTCCTGAGGTGCTTGGTGATGTCACCGGTATTTAACCAAAGGAATGGGAAAGAAATTTCTTGTGGCCAAATTATGCCCCAAAGAATACATAAACTTACTTTCTTTGTAATAACACAGTTTTTTTTTGAGATGGAGTCTTGCGCTGTCGCCAGCCTGGAGTGCAGTGTTCCGATCTTGACTCACTGCCACCTTCGCCTACCACATTTAAGCGATTCCCCTGCCTCAGCCTCCTTTGTAGCTGGGACTATAAACTGGCACTACCACACCCAGCGAATTGTTTTGTATTTTTAGTAGAGACGAGGTTTCACCGTGTTGGCATTGATGGTCTCGATTTCCTGACCTTGTGATCCATCCTCCTCAGTGGATTTCGGGCTGATCTCGATTTACCCGCCTCAGCCTCCCAAAGTGCTGGGATTACAGGCATGAGCCACAACGCTGGGCCTAACATAGTGGCTTCATATACATTTATTTGACCTTTATATTACTTTGTGAGCTAAGTTTTATCCCCATTTTAGAGACAAACCTGTGGGTTTAAATTATACTAGTTAAGTATGGAACTAGAACTAAACCTGGCTTTCTTACTCTGCCACCTCAGATTTCTGTGTCGTAACCGTTTCTATGGGAAGTGATAAAACAACCACAGTGGGCCTGGCGAGGGGGCTCACACCTGTACTCCCAGCACTCTGGGAGGCTGAGGCGGGTGGATCCAGATCAGCCTGGCCAACATGGTGAAACCCCGTCTCTACCAAAAAAAAAAAAAAAGAAAGAAAGAAAGCTGGGTATGGTGGCACACACCTGTGGTCCCCCCTACTATGGAGGCTGAGGCAAGAGAATCGCCGGAACTTAGGAGGTGGAGGATTCAGTGAGCCGAGATCGTGCCACTGCACTCCAGCCTGGGCAACAGGGCAAGATTCCATCTCGGGGCGATGGGGAGACCACAGCAGAGACAGCAATGTGGGGGCTTACGGCAATGGCATAGCCTGTCAGCAGGATCAGGATGATCAGCAGAAAGCCCAACACCTCGTCCCAGGCTCGGCTCAGTGTCCTGCTGATGACCCACAGCCTGGGGCTGTGACGCAGCAAGTTCCATAACTGAACAGTTGCCAGCAGAACCAGGAAGCCCACGAGATGGGTTGCAGCAGAGTTCACTTTTACTGCCTCATAGAAGCTGATGAACCTGCACCAAAGAAAGCTGACAGTTACTGAGCAAGAAGATGATGCCCCTGTACCACGGTTTCCCCAGTGCCCCTCCTGCTGAGCACAGCAGCCCTGAGTCCTGTGAGATCGAATGCTGGTTGATATGAGAACTGGTTTCTAGTGTGGTCTCCCGTGAATTGTGGATATGGGAATAACAAAAGGCCACATATTATTCAAATGATCTGCCTGCTGCAGATGGCACTGGGAGCTGTGCTGAAGAAACCTTAAAATGTGACCTCTAGCTGATTTCTTTAAATTCATCCTGGGAAGCAAAACCAGCCTCCTGCACTGCTCTGACCCAAATCTCTCCTCTCAAAAGGAGTTTAACGCCACCCAGAGAGAGGAGCCATTCTGCTGGTCTGTTTCCTGCCGCACACTAATCCTGTGTTGTCCTCTGGCAGTACAGGATTGATGTAATAGGTTTAATAATGCTTAGAACAAAATGATGGATGGTAGACTAGAGGCGAGGGGTGTTGCTCAGCAATTACGTTTTATTTTATGAGAAATACATTCATAATTTTAGGTTGCAGCAACCAGGTGACTTGGAAGGACCCCCCCACCCCAGACACTAGCAAGGACCCCCCACCCCAGACACTAGCAAGGACCCCCCACCCCAGACACTAGCAAGGACCCCCCACCCCAGACACTAGCAAGGACCCCCCACCCCAGACACTAGCAAGCAGTGCTCTGCACAGACACAGTCCCTGCATAAACTACTCTCCATCAGGCCTACTTGAAACAATGCCTCAGGAAAAGTCACACAGATCACTGCCCAGGCTGTAGGCCACCGATGAAAAGCTTAGCAAAGCATCACTTGGCAACACTTGCCGTGGGAAACAGATAAGATATTCCTCTCCATGGGAAAAAGCAGAGAAGGCACCCAAAGGGGCGCCAAACATCTCTTGGTATGGATGAGTGAATGCATGAAATCCCTACCCAGAAAGCAACTCCCTTTGAATTTAAAGGATGGACTATGTGTTTTGCTTTCATTTAAAGGATTATTTGTCATGTGTCAGGCTTTATGCCTTTGCCAGAGTGCAAAATAATGACCAATTCCAGGCCTTTATGAAACTTAAATGCATTATCCTTAAGCACATACCTGAGCACTAATGAAGGCAGAAGAGCTCTTCAATGTGACTATCAGGTAAATGGTTTCTAGTTCACTGTGTTCTTTTCTTCAGACAGTTTTGCTCTTGTTGCCCAAGCTGGAGTGAAATGGCATGATTCTGGCTCACTGCAACCTCTGCCCCCCAGATTCAAGCGATTCTCCTGCTTCAGCATCCTTAGTAGCTGGGACTACAGGCATCCGCCACCATGCCTGGCATAGAGATGGCATTTCTCCACGTTGGTCAGGCTGGTCCGACTCCCGACCTCAGGTGATTTACCCACCTTGGCCTCCCAAAGTGCTGGGATTACAGCTGTGAGCCACTACGCCCAGCCTAGTTCATTGTTTTCCCTGCTATGGACATGAATCCAACTTCTGTTTTAACTCTGATATTATACAAATACAGATCTAGTAGACCAGTGAAGGAAGGGGAGTTTGAAAGAATACTTGTGTATAACCAGGAAACTTTAGACATGAGGTAGGAGTATCCTGTGCCCCTTAGGCTTCCTCTCACCTGTCCCGGTCATGGTGGTATCGTGCCATGTTTTTCTTATGTAGAGAAATACTCTTCATGTCAAGCCCCAGGATGATGAAGCTAATGAGGATTATACTTGTGTCCAGAATGTTTCTTTTCCTGGTGAAGAACCTCCACTTCTGCCGTTTTAGCCGACAACCCTAAACATAGACAGCAAGGTCACCACTGCTGGTCTAAGAGATAAGCTAGGTTGCTCCCTGCTCAAGTGTGACAAGCACAGCTGATGTCTATGGGCAAAGCACACTGTGAGGCATTTATCAGCTCTCACTTAGACAAACGAGTTATGGTCTTAGTTCAGCTCTGTAGTCATTCAGAAATGCCACTTACAGAAAAGTTGGCTTCTAATACAACTTCCACTAAATGAATACATTTATTCTTTTTCTTGGAGATCACAAGCCTGTCACTTAAAAATAAATAATACAAGTTTCTTTTTTTGAGACAGGGTCTTGCTTTGTGGCCCAGGCTGGAGTGCAGTGGTGTGACCATAGCTCACTGCAGCCTCAACCTCTCAGGCTCAGGCTCAGGCTCAAGCAATCCTCCCACCTCAGCTTCCCGAGTAGCTGGGACCACAGGCACATGCCACCATGCCCAGCCAAGTTTTGTATTTTTTTGTAGAGACAATGTTTTGACATTTTGCCCAGGCTAGTCTCGAACTCCTGGCTTGAAGTGATCTGCCCACTTCAGCCTCCCAAACTGCTGGGATTACAGGCGTGAGCCACTATGGCCAGCAAAAGTTTCTAAACTAGTTATTAAGCCTGAGACTGAAGAAAATATACTATGTTTGGCTTAAGATATAAATATATTTTCTTGTGAGTGTAATCATTTGTATTTTTTTTTTTTTTGAGACGGAGTTTCGCTCTTGTCGCCCAGGCTGGAGTACAGTGGCGCCATCTGGGCTCACTGCAACCTCCACCCCTAAGGTTCAAGCAATTCTCTTGCCTCAGCCTACTGAATAGGTGGGACTTCAGGAGCCCACCACCACACCCAGCTGATTTTGTATTTTTAGTAGAGACGGGGTTTCGCCATGTTGGCCAGGCTGGTCCTGAACTCCTGACCTCAGGTGATCCACCTGCCTCAGCCTCCCAATGTGCTGGGATTACAGGTGTGAGCCATCACACTCAGCCAATCATTTTTATTTTTGAATGCTTGCTGTTTGTTCATCATACTTGCTTGGTATTACTTTATATAGGGCTAATAAAACTACAAAAGTACCATTTCTACAGGCTAAATTCTTTAGCACCTGAAATTTGAAAGAGCTACTCTATTTGGTGGAAAACCAGTCAGCCTTTAACTGAATTCAAGTTTCTGAAAAGGACCAAAATCATCATCATAATTCTGGTAACAGGTCATTGTGGAGCTCCCCAAATAAAATGTGGCAACCTTTATTTCTCACATCTAACATCATCATCATCATTTTTGAGACAGGGTCTTGCTCTGTGGCCCAGGCTAAAGTGCAGTGGCGTGATCTTGGCTCACTGCAACCTCTGCCTCCTAAGCTCAAGTGATTGTCCCATCTCAGCTTCCCGAGTAGCTGGGACCACAGGTGTGCACCACCACACCTGGGTAATTTTTGTAGTTTGGTAAAGATGAGGTTTTGCCACATTGCCCAGGCTGACATCTAACATTACTGACTCACCTGTATGAAGGCATAGTAACAGATCAGTAGATAATAGATGACTTGTGAGATGACCGACCAGACAAAGCCCTTCTTTGACATCTGGAGGGAAGTGAAGCTTTCCAGTCTCACAGAGGTGAAGAAAGCGCCTGAGAATAACGAAGAACACCTGGAGACAAGCGTCTAAAACTTTTGCCCTCTTGTCGTTACACTTTGTCTTTGAATAACCCCAACTCTTCCTATATCATCAATTCAAATGTTTCTGAGTTCAAGCCTCCACTTACTATTTCCTTTAGGGCTGTTATGAACATTAAATGAGATCATATATTCAAAACTATTGGAGAAATAACTGGTTTCACAAAAGTCAGTAGTGGGAAAGGCTATGCTGTTGATCCTGCCTTGCAGGGGAGGTGTCAGTGGCTTAACACCTGTTATAGATGTCACCCTAACTCAGTCGGAATGGCTGTAGAGAGAAGTCTAAAGCACAGAGATACCCCATGACTACTGATAGTGTCCCATGGATACTCAGTCACTTACATAAGGATGGACTAAAAGGCTTCAGCCTCCATGTGGAAGGACAGTGAAAAGATTCAAGTTTGTAAAATCATGAAAGGTCTTATGAATGTAAACCTTTCATAAAGCTTCAAAATATTAGTGATGGCGGCAGCAGGCTGTCTGGAGTGGCTGCTGCCATGACACCTGCTGCAGTGGGGGAGGTGTGGCCGGGACTGTGTGCTCCATTGAGCTGTGGGAGCCAGTAACTGGTGGGAGACCTGCCCCCTTCTGAGCTGGAGGCTTGGGAGCCCCACCCTCCTGGGTGCAGTTGTAGCTGCTCAGCCGTGGCTGCAGACCGGCCATCCCTGCTCCCACTGCACAGCCCACCCCACTCCCCTCATCTGCTCTGATTTTGGAGCAAAGTTTTGGCCGAGCCTGGGCATTGCCAAGACCCAGACGGGTGTGTGTGCACTTAGGGCAGTGCTGACACGCAGCCCCCTACTGCTTCAGCCCTCTCTGAACTTTGGGCACTGACAAGCATGAGAGGGAGGGTGGGCAAGGTGGGGGGTGAAGGGCAGCTTTGTCGTGGGCCTGCAGGTGCCCCTTGGCACAGACAACCTGGGCACCATGGGTGACATATGGATGCTGGCAGAAAGCAGACAGGCTCCTGAGTGGAAACGGGCAGGTCCCCAGTACAGCCTCACCTTTGAGCCAGGGGGCTTGGCTGCCAATTCAGGAACCTGGCACTTTCACCAACTGGAGTGAGAACTTAAGACATTTTTCCTGGGTTCACTCATGGCTGCGCATTGACCAATGAGCACACACTCCCCTCTGAAGCCCATAAAAATTCCAGACTCAGCCAGACTTGGGCGGATGGCAGGTAGGAGCTACCCACTCCAGGTCTCCTAAAAACTGTTTTGCCACTCTCCACCTCTCTCACACTCCAGTTGTCTGTGAACCTCATTCTTCCTGGATGCAGGACAAAAACTCGGGACCCCCAAGTGGTGGGACTGAAAAAGCATAGCACCAACAGGGCTGAAACACAACCCCTCGCAGGCCAGGTTGCAGGCAATGAGGAGGAGAGAAGAGCTGCGGCCCTTTGGGGAAGCCCAGACCCATGGGCTCCTTGAGCCAGGGCTGTGACAGCCTCTTTGGGCCTCTATGGTTCCTGGCATCTCCAAACTTCTGGCCACCATGGTGTTTCTCTCATTCAGAGGCGGGTACCCACAGTGGAAACCACATAAAGCACATGTGGTCGAACTGTAGCCTCTCAGGGAGCTGGCACCTGTGCCAGAACATAGAGATGCCCACCTCACTGCAGCAGCCAGCATGCCTGGCTGTGTGCAGTGGCTGGACCCCACAATTGCTCACCTAGCTATCCCTTTGCTGCTCCGTGCCTGGCTCTCCCTTGGCAGGTGTGGGATCCAGGCCGGTAGCATGAGCCAAGTGCAGCCTGCCAGGCCAAGTGGGCAGAAGGAGCCCAGCGGGTGCAAGCAATACTCAGGCAGAAGGTGCTGCTGGCCACAGAGGTTTCTGGCTGGCAAAGCCACACCCTAAGGATGCCATGACATTAAAACTCAGATGTACCTCTTGTAGGTAGAAAAGACATTTAAGAACAAAAGGAATTCCTATTTCACCTAGCTAGCTCTCAAGACTGAGAGCTTTTCCCATTTTAATCCCTGTCTATTTTTTGGTAGTAACTAACAATAAAAACCCCGTGAAGACCCTCAGGAACCCTTTATGGTTCATTAGAAACAAGTATAAGAGAAGTGGTCTATTCTGCAGGTCTGAGAGGAGAAAAATTCCTGATTAGGAGAAAGATGTGCCCGAAAATGGAAGGATACTTGTCAACCAATTCTGGGAGAAAGAAGAAAGAGGAGAAAGAAGTTGGATTAGGACAGACTTCCTGTTAAAGGGAGGGAAACTGATGGACCAGTTTACCTCCAATCCCTGACAAAATGCCACTATAATGAAAGTGAAAGGATAAAGTAAAATCTTCAAAAGATGAAGAAAAGGAGGGCAGATGAGGGCAACAAATTGTTAGAAGCTGAACAGTAGAGGAATCACACTGACTTAGCAAGTTCAAGAAAGCTGAAACCTGGCCGGGCGTGGTGGCTCATGCCTGTAATCTAAGCACTTTGGAGGCCAAGGTGGGCGGATTACCTGAGGTCGGGAGTTCAAGACCAGCCTGACCAATATGGTGAAATGTCGTCTTTAAAAAAAAAAAGAAAGAAAGCTGAAACCTAAGCAGCAGTACAGGAAACCGGAAGCAAACCAGTTCTAACCACAAAACTGTGGAAAGCCTCAGACATTGCAGGCATCAGCTATTTCTGAAGGTAGACGTTCAGCTGGAACTGAAAATAGCATCAACTGAAAGTATATATGTATGTATGTATATAGACAGACTTCCTGTTAGAGGGAGAGAAACTGAATGGACCAGTTTACCTCCAATCCCTGACGAAATGCCACTATAATGAAAGTAAAAGGATAAAGTAAAAACTTCAAAAAAACAAACAAACAAAAAAAAATATATATATACATATATACAATTAGATTCCAAATTTCCTCCCTCACCATTCACAACCAGGGATTTGCTACCCATCTTGCCTTCCACCACCCTGTGACTAAAAGTTTGTTTCCAAGTGATGCTGAATGAGAAATTCTGGACTTGGGGCACGAGCTGCATGTGAGAGTAACAGTTTAGTGGAAAAGGGGATTAAGGGCAAGTTTACATACCGCATGGTGAGATGCTTCCCACATCCTTTCCCCCAACTCACTCTGAGAACTATAATAGGCTCATATCCTCAAGGTAGGAGTTTGGAGGGTCTCTAAAAACTGACTGCCCAAAAGAGAGACATAGATAACAGTCTTTTTTTTTTTTTTTTTTTTTTTTTTGAGACAGAGTCTCACTCTGTACCCCAGGCTGGAGTGCAGTGGCATGATCTCAGCTCACTGCAACCTCTGCCTCCTGAGTTCAAGCCTCCTGAGTAGCTGGGATTACAGGTGTGTGCCACCATGCCTGGCTAACTTTTGTATTTTTGGTAGAGACGGAGTTTTGTCATGTTGGCCAGGCTGTTCTCCAACTCCTGACTTCAGGTGATCCACCTGCCTCAGCCTCCCAAAGTGCTGGGATTATAGGTATGAGCCACCAAGCCCAGCCGGGCACAGAGTTTATAATTAGAATTTATTTGCTTTTTATTGCCTTCCTTTTTTTTGATGCAAACAAAAGGTTGTATAAGAAACAAAATTCACCACCATGAACTTCATATGGAACCAAAAGAGAGCCCGCATAGCCAAGTCAATTCTAATAAAAAAGAACACAGCTGGGGGCATCACACTACCGGATTTCAAACTATACTACAAGGCTACAGTAATCAAAATAGCATGGTACTGGTACCAAAACAGAGATATAGACCAATGGAACAGAACAGAGGCATCAGAGGCAACACAACATAGCTACAACCATACAATCTTTGATAAACCTGACAAAAACAAGCAATGGGGAAAGGATTCCCTGTTCAACAAATGGTGCTGGGAAAACTGGCTAGCCATGTGCAGAAAGCAGAAACTGGACCCCTTCCTGACACCTTACACTAAAATTAACTCCAGATGGATTAAAGACTTAAACATAAGACCTGGCACCATAAAAACCTTAGAAGGAAATCTAGGCAAAACCATCCAGGACATAGGAGTAGGCAAGGACTTCATGAACAAAACACCAAAAGCATTGGCAACAAAAGCCACAATAGACAAATGGGACCTAATGAAACTCCACAGCTTCTGCACAGCAAAAGAAACAGTCTCTAGTGTGAATTGGCAACCAACAGAATGGGAAAAAATTTTTGCAGTTTACCCATCTGACAAAGGGCTGATATCCAGAATTTACAAAGAACTCAAACAGATTTACAGGAAAAAAACAAACAAGCCCATTCAAAATTGGGCAAAGGATATGAACAGACACTTTACGAAAGAAGACATATATGAGGCCAACAATCATATGAAAAAATGCTCATCGTCACTGGTCATCAGAGAGATGCAAATCAAAACCACATTGAGATACCATCTCACGCCAGTTAGAATGGCGATCATTAAAAAAATCTGGAGACAACAGATGCTGGAGAGGATGTGGAGAAAAAGGAACACTTTACACTGTTGGTGGGAGTGTAAATTAGTCCAACCATTGTGGAAGACAGTGTGGCAATTCCTCAAGGCCTTAGAAATAGAAATTCCATTTGACCCAGCAATCCCATTACTGGGTATATATCCAAAGGACTATAAATCGTTCTACTATAAGGACACATGCACACGAATGTTCATTGCAGCACTGTTTACAATAGCAAAGACCTGGAATCAACCCAAATGCCCATTGATGATAGACTGGATTGGGAAAATGTGGCACATATACACCATGGAATATTATGCAGCAATCAGAAATGATGAGTTCGTGTCGTTTGTAGGGACATGGATGAATCTGGAGAACATCATTCTCAGCAAACTGACACAAGAACAGAAAATGAAACACTGCATATTCTCACTCATAGGCGGGTGATGAAAAATGAGAACACATGGACACAGAGAGGGGAGTACTACACACTGGGGTCTATTGGGGGGAAAAGGGGAGGGCCAGTGGGAGGGGGAGGTGGGGAGGGATAGC